CCACTACAGCTCCCCAACCACCACGACAGCTGCAAAGTTGTGGCCATAGACTTTCTTGGCTCTAGTATTGGCCAGCAAGTATTTTAAGCACTTTTTATCAAAGAGGCAAACACTGAACTCTTATAAAAACTATTTCATGTGAATAACAACTTGCTGTTCAGGTGTGGACATGTTCAAAGGTTTTGACTCCTTTGTAATTTATGGCAAACATGCTTTCTTTGTGGTTATTAAAACTTTCTCACATTTTAGGGAGCCACAAATATATATATTGCTCTTTTGAACTACATGATATGTTCACATATTTACTGGAAAATTATTGCTTAGGGTGGTCCAATTTTCTCATTTTATTTTCAGCAGAGTACACCACAGAATAGCTCGATGTTCAATCGCAATATGAGAACTTAGTATAAATGTATTGACCCTTTTTCCTGTCTGAATAGAATTCTAGCCATGCTTTAAATATGGAAAGTAAAAAAGGTTACTTTTGATATCACTTTCCAGTAGGAATGTCTAGGCAAGTGTGAAAAAGAAAGAAAAAAAAAGAAATGAAAATAGACAAATAATAACAAAAGGGGGAAAAAACAAAGAAAAAGAGGATGATAAATTTCCCAGAATCAATTGTTCCTCAGTTTCCTTAGAAAGATTTGTTTTTTCCTTGAAAAGCACTACCCTGCAGCTGGTGTTGTCATCAACCCTGAAGTGCCATACAAAATGCTGTTTGTTGCTTAATTTACAAAACTTTTTTTTTTTGCATTGAACAGCTTTCCAAGGGTGAATTTGCCTGTAAAATAAATACTGTTTGTTTAGGGGCTGTGAAAAATCTGACATCACCAAGCACCTGCTCATCCATGAGGAACCCAAGCATGTGTGTGAGGTGTGCAAGAAGGCTTTTAGGCACCTGAAGAACAAGGAACTCCATGTGAAGAGGTAATTAATATATTAGCTGGGACCTTCTATTGATCTGAACACTGGAGTACTTATTGTACAGGGGTTTGTTTGTACATGTTCGTTTAAAAAAAAATTAGTTTTTCCTTATGATTTTTTTTTTAATCAGCACATTTTCTGTTGATTTCTAGAGTGATGAAGGCAGAATGCCATGGGTTGGTTCATGGAAAACATCATTAATTATGCGGTTTTCAGTAACAAATTAAAAACTTTCAAAATTACAAGATTTCATTATTGTTTTAAAATCAGAAGCTAAAGATTCAAGTGGAAAAATGAAGTTGGTAAAGAGTATTTTCACACGAGACTCTCGGCATGTTTCAAGTGACCATAGAATTCCAGTTTTATGTGAATTCCTGCTTTGTACCATGGCACCGATGAAGGAAATGTCTTGTGTACATCATTGTGGTGGCAATTAAAACCTAGTAGAACTATTCAAGTCCCATACAATTAGATTTACATGTAAGTTTTCCTAGTAATGGGGTGGGCCTCCTTCATATACAATTGAACACTTCAACTGTGGCCATAAAGACCTCCTGCAAGAATGTGGATTTATTTTTGGCAAGTAAACAGAAGTTAAGGTTAGTGGTTTTCCCATCTATTTGCTGCTCAAATACTTTATACCCTTGATTCATTTTCCGTGCTGTGTTTACACAGCAATTCTACAGGGGATGTAGGGTTTCAGACTTGGAGAAATCTGCTAGTGTGATTGAGGTCACCAGCTTGTGGTAATGGTGACCCCTGGTGACCTTTGTACTGCAGACTGGCCAAAACAATGGCATGAGTCATCAGGATATGAGGGTAATAAGTCAGTCTGGGAATTCCCATTCTTGTTAACTGAACAATAATAGAGGGCCTGAGGGTTGTATATTCCAATTGTCATGGCAACAAAAATAAACAAGAAAATACAAACAGTGATTTATGTTGTGTGAATTCTCTTGTCTTGCAATGAAGAAGATTATCTTTTCCAGACATAAAGGTCAGAGGGATTACAAGTGTGGTGTCTGTGATTTCTATGGGTATACCTTCACTGATATACGGAAGCACATCGAGCGCAAGCATTCCCAGTCTGCTACCATGACAGTGGCCTGTGACAGATGTGGCGCCCCCTTCAGGACGGAGGCAGCACTCAGAGTAAGCAGACAATTTACATCATCATTATTTTTTACAAAGTGGATTTATTATCATTTTATTTTTTGTGTGTGTATCATTATAGCTGTATTGCAATGTTTTAATTTCAATTTGTTAATGTTAGAAAATTGAAAAGACATAAATGGGAGTGGAAGATCTTAGTGAGAGCTATGAATGTGCTCATGTTCAGGCTGTAACCTTTCCAGTTTATACGTGACTACAAAGTGCATGCTAGGAGAGGGGGCATGGCTGTTAAAATTACAGTTGCAGTGAGAATACAACCTGTTAAAAATCTTTCAACTGTTTCTGCCTGCAATAAATCTTACTTCTAAAAAAATATGTTTCCCGTGCACTTGGTCTAGCCAGGTTAAAGAATCTTTTTTTTTTTCCCCAATATTATTTAAGGATCACCAGAAAATTTGTGAATTAACAATGATTGAGCAGGCCCTGGCGGTTGCTACCAGCACCGGTAACCACACCATACAAATATCTGATGCACAAATCATCACAGACGGCACACAGCTCACAATAGATGGCACTCAAGTCAGCATTGTGGAAGGTGAAATAGCAGGTGAGCCAAGAAGAGCTAAGATTGAAAGGTTTAGTCTAAACATCACAGATAGTATGTAATGCACAAAAACTTTGTACCTAAGTTTTGTTAGGATGGAGAATTAATTATAGATTTATTTGTTTATTTTATTTATGTTGCGGAAAAAAATTGTGATTGTTATGGCAACTGAGAAATGAGCTGTTGGACTTGGTACAAAAGAATGTTCTGTTTTTAAAAGTTGAATCTGTTAACAAGAAAGACTGGAATTTTCATGTAGGCAGCCACATGTATGTGTTGGAAGAAATTTGATGCAAAAAAGGATATGTAAAAAAATCCTGTCATAGTCACCTGAGTCATTGGCAGTATGTGTGTTATCAGTGAGAACCTGCTGAAGAATGAATAGTAATAGAAGAAAAGAGTGGGAGGCTATCAACTCTGAAATGATCAGAGTAAAAACTATATTCATAGATATGCATGTTAGTTATTAATATATCGTACATATCCATCAATGTTAATGTCTCAGGGTGAGAGACTAATTTATGTTTCTCAAACTATTTCAAGACACTCCGAGTGTTTTTGAAGGCACTTAAGATTAAGAAGTATATATAGCATAATGTGGGATGAAAATAATGTCACAAGAGTGGCGGCAGCCATGTGACTTGTGAACGCTGTAATAATAGAATGATTTACTTAATAGCTTGCATTACTTTGCTCCTCTGCATTAAGGTAATCTCAATAATATGGTAATGTTTGTTTAATAGGTGCAATTCAAAACACCCTTGGGTTGGGGCAGCATCATGTGCTAGAAGTGGGTGGATAGAGTACACTCACTGCCTCCCACATGACATTTTTTTTATAGTGAATTGCATATTTTCTCAATTGTCATTCATTCTCTAGAACATTGCACAATATCTGACACCAGAGAAGGAATGCTTGTAGTTTGCTAGGAGGAATTTTATTATAAAACTGCATTTGAAGACATCCATATCTCTTATTTCCTTTGTATTCTCTCTCTCTCTCTGCCTTCTCTTGGCCATATTTACATATTTGCTTGTGTGGAATGTTTTTACTGCTGTATGGAGTAGTGGGGTTGGTGTGGGCAGGGTGTGTGACTGCCAATATAGCCGATGTAAATAAGACCAGTGCTTTTATTTTTTATAGCTGTACAAGGGAGTTTTTTTTTTGGGGGGGGGGGGAGCATGGGAAAATTGAGGAGTATAATTGGAGAATGTTGGGTTTCCAGGATGTGGTGAGACATGTGACTGAAACCCAGTCTTCATTCAAGTATTTTAGGGACAAGATTAGCTGAAAGATAAATGTGGCTTAGTAAAGAGAAACCAGGAAGAAACTTAAGTAATTTTGAACTGCGATGGTATTCATTGTTTTTTTTTGCATTTTTTATAATGTGTGACTTATTGTTCTTCTTCGAGGAGTTCCTGCATGCAAATTTACTAGTGTTACAAAATGAAGAGAACAGAAAGTAGTTGAATTCTATCACTCCAAAATGAAAGCAGGTAGAAATTTACAAAATATTGAAGAAAAAATATTTCAGTAAAAAAATAGAGCCACAGCATCTTTTTTTTATATTTATTATTCTGATTTAGGGAAGGGATGACCAAGTTCTATTAGGTGAGTTGAATAGAATTTTTAAAAAAATATATAGGATACATTTCTTAAATATTTAAAGATATTTAAAAATGAATATCATTTAAAATTATTTGTTTAATAAATTTCATAATTTTGTTTCCTTCCTAATGCAAAAAAAAAATAAATAATAATAATAAAATACATGTGTTTAACTATCCAATTTTCTTTCGACAACAAACAGAAAAAAAAACACTGTAACAAGTTTTCCACCTCCTCTGCAGAACTCCCACAACATACTCCCAGTTTCTTTTTCCTTTGTGTGAATGAGCGGAAGAATAAGAAGTGAATAGAAGAAGTGATGAAAAGGAAGAATAGCCTAGACTGGTGATCTATCACTGGGCAACCATTTTAAATTGCATGCAGTTTACCCACATGGAATGCCATTCATAAAAAGGTAGACACACAAAAAAGTAATTTCATTGAAAATAAAAAAAAACCAAGGCAGGGCACCTTGGTTGGCATTCTAACCCACATATCAGTGCAGTAATGTCCCATTCCTTTGTATCTTTATTTAGATGTTAATTGTCTAGTGAATGCTTTAAAACAAAAAGATAACATATTTGAGGTACATACAGGGAAGGTGCTGTGTTTACTGATGCCTTCATGTAATGTGCACTGGAATGAAAGACAAGAATGTATTGAGAGTAGGGGTCATGAAATGAAAGGGCTGTACTGTGATAATAACTATAGTACCTAGTGATGGACTCCCTTTGATAACTGTAAGGTTATATAAGATATGCCAGGCTTAGTTTACCTTGAAAACTTTCCCTCATTAGTGGACAGTAGGTATTCATTAACTGCTCGGCCTCTCACTGCAGGGAAGGCATGAAAACAACCTGTAATTTGTCTGTCATTTGCAGTTCAAGTAGATGTTACAGGTTCTTGTTTTTGCATAATGTTAGCTCCCTCGTTATTTCTATTGTTCTAAACATTGTGAGTTCAAGGCACTTAATTTGTTGAAATTGATTTTAAGATTTCTTTTTAACGCTTCACTCTTGTTTAGTTTTGTCCACTTTAAACATGAAAAACCTGTGTATGGGTGCATCAATCCAGTATTATCCATTGAGATTATTTATGTAACTCCCTGAGGCTTGGATTAGGTTGTGGTAAGAATACCAGATAATGTATTACCACAATATCACAAATAATGTGTGTTAGAATATCTAATGTATTCTTGATGGCATATAATACATTCTTCAGTACGGATGTCTGCAGCATATAATGTGTGTTATTATACAGAAAGTAACCTGTCTTGATGTTTATAATGTGGACACAAGTTATTTGTAATACTGTGTTGAACCTCCCCTTACTTTCAGGAACAGGGAAGTCAGGGGTCCTATTTATCAATATTTAGGAATTTCAAACAAATCAAAAGGCGCACTGCTCTATTTTTTTTTTTCTGAGGCTGTAGTTTATATGTACCCATGCGTTTAATGAAGTCATTAATCAACAAACACGTAGTGTGCTTCTAGCTCATAGCTTTATTTATCTCTAGTTATCATGCTTTCGTACATGACTATTTTTCATTTTTTGTTTGTCTGTTTGACATGGGAATCTTTTTTATTTTGAATAGATGCTTGATAGAAAGTCTATTAACTTTTTAAAATGAAAAGATATACATGAATAAGATACACTTGAAAAAAGTATTTTTGATTTCCAGAGATATATCTATTTTTAAAAAAATCTTTTTGAAAAATGAAGAGATAATGTACACATAATAAGACAGTGGTAACTTAATTCAGGAAAGCTGACTTTATAAAGACCCCCAGCACTTGGTAGTTGGGCAGCTGAGTTGTTAACTGACCCCTGTCCAGTGCTGCCCTCTGTGGCCAGCACAGTTTCCATGCTGATTTCCTTTAGAAAGCCACCAGCATATTAGACGGTTAAAAACACATTGACTTGATATGCATTCCAGTTTTGATTTGATCTATTGTAGACAGGCCACAGGAGAATGAGTAGCCACACATGCACTGCCAGCCAGCGTTCTGGGGGCATAAGGTGCAGCTTTGAGCCAGGCAGGGTTAAAAAGGATCCCATTTTGCACTTCTTCACTCATCACCCAAGAAATAGGTTAAAAAGCAACAGGAGATAATAAAAGAAGTCTTTCACATTCCGGGCGGGTAATGATACCTGCGGAAGTGGAAGAGAAGGGGGAAATAATCACCAGTGGTCAATCCCTCATCTCATATTTGATAGCATGTCCTGAAGTCCAGTCAAATGGTCACCATATGTGGGGCAGAGATAAAGAACAAACCACTAAGACTTCCTATGACACTTGTGTCAGGCTTTGACATATATCAAATATACATGCTTATATAGGTCTTCTTGCCCAGTGGCTGAAATGCTTCTTACTTATGCAATAGAACTGGATTTTAATATCTGAATGCATTTTGCTTTTGCATGTTAACTAAGACTTTTAAAATTGAAATGATATGAATAAGGAAATTTTTCAACAAAACAGGAGTTATCCTTATATATTTATTTCACATGTTTAACCCTTTGAAAAAATGTGTAACAGAGAGTTCTTAACAGAAGCTCTTAAACTGTCCCTGGTTTTTGATTATTTTATAATTTTCCCATGTGATGTTTTTTAGATTGGCTGTCACATGAGTACAGCTACCTTATGTCCTGGTCTGCTTAGTCATGTCAGCCCCGGCTGAGCTGCTGGTCTCAGACTAGGAGAATAGTGTAGTCTCCTCAGGTGTTATTTATCTTCATGGGTTACTTCCTGTCCTCTTAAGTAGCCCTTCATTTTTTTCTCATCAGTGGCTATTTATTTTATTTTACTGTCTCTGTGTTGGCAACTGTGATGGATACTTGTAAGCAGGGTTACCTAACTTCTTCCACTGTCTTCTGCCTCTAGGAAAAGAATAGGGTGACATTGAGGGTCATTGATAGTATGTGGAGGCTGTGTTTGTTACACAGTGTTGCTGTATACATTAATTACTGTGTGTGAAGTGTGTTAGTATAAGATGCTGTGTTGGGTCTTATCTGCTCTGTCACTGGTGTGGGATCAGGTGTCAGTGGAGAAACTTTGTGAATGAACTCTACAACTAACCAACCACAGGCTGTTTCTGTTTATAGCACATGCATACTTTCTCAGGCTTAGACCAGTGAAGGCTGAAAATGCAAATTGAAATGAGTATGAGAGAAATGAATTAGTGGTAAAGGTAAACCACTCATTGATTGATTTTTCTTGCAACTGCGTTTTGTGACTTTCACATACAAGTTTCAGATATAAGTTTTAATCAAGCCAAGTGCATCTAAAAGTTAAATAGTACACAGAAAAAAGCATTTCATGGCTGGGAAGATGACTTAGTGTCTATGCAGGCCCGCCGTCTCCTTGGCCAAGCCCTGCCCCAGAGACTCCCTCACTGTCTCCTTGGCCAAGCCCTACCCCAGAGACTCCCTCACTGTCTCCTTGGCCAGACCCTGCCCCGGAGACTCCCTCACTGTCTCCTTGGCCAAGCCCTGCCCCAGAGACTCCCTCACTGTCTCCTTGGCCAAGCCCTGCCCCAGAGACTCCCTCACAGTCTCCTTGGCCAAGCCCTGCTCCGGAGTCTCCCTTACTGTCTCCTTGGCCAGCCCTAGCCCCGGAGACACCCTCATTGTCTCTTTGGCCAGACCCTGCCCCGGTGACTCCCTCCCTGTTTCCATGGCTAGACCCTGCCCGGAGACTCCCTCACTGTCTCCTTGGCCAAGCCCTGCCCCAGAGACTCCCTCACTGTCTCCTTGGCCAAGCCCTGCCCCAGAGACTCCCTCACAGTCTCCTTGGCCAAGCCCTGCTCCGGAGTCTCCCTTACTGTCTCCTTGGCCAGCCCTAGCCCCGGAGACACCCTCATTGTCTCTTTGGCCAGACCCTGCCCCGGTGACTCCCTCCCTGTTTCCATGGCTAGACCCTGCCCGGAGACTCCCTCACTGTCTCCTTGGCCAAGCCCTGCCCCAGAGACTCCCTCACTGTCTCCTTGGCCAAGCCCTGCCCCAGAGACTCCCTCACAGTCTCCTTGGCCAAGCCCTGCTCCGGAGTCTCCCTTACTGTCTCCTTGGCCAGCCCTAGCCCCGGAGACACCCTCATTGTCTCTTTGGCCAGACCCTGCCCCGGTGACTCCCTCCCTGTTTCCATGGCTAGACCCTGCCCGGAGACTCCCTCACTGTCTCCTTGGCCAAGCCCTGCCCCAGAGACTCCCTCACTGTCTCCTTGGCCAAGCCCTGCCCCAGAGACTCCCTCACAGTCTCCTTGGCCAAGCCCTGCTCCGGAGTCTCCCTTACTGTCTCCTTGGCCAGCCCTAGCCCCGGAGACACCCTCATTGTCTCTTTGGCCAGACCCTGCCCCGGTGACTCCCTCCCTGTTTCCATGGCTAGACCCTGCCCGGAGACTCCCTCACTGTCTCCTTGGCCAAGCCCTGCCCCAGAGACTCCCTCACTGTCTCCTTGGCCAAGCCCTACCCCAGAGACTCCCTCACTGTCTCCTTGGCCAGACCCTGCCCCGGAGACTCCCTCACTGTTTCCATGGCTAGACCCTGCCCTGAAGACTCCCTCACTGTCTCCTTGGCCAGACTCTCATGGTGATGGGACCAACAGGTACATTGACATCAACCCCCTTCACCCGCACCGTATCCCATCCCATCTGAATTTCATCTCAGTTTATGGAAGGTTTTTGTTATGCATGAATCATCTATCTATGTCTTTGGGGTTTTTTCCTGTCACTCTACAGTAAGTAGTGTCAAAGACAGATAAAGCTAGAATCCTAAACATCCTGTTCACAGTGTCAGGGGGAAATCACCCTTAAACGAGAAAAATGCTGCAGTACATGAAAGTATTCTGTTTTTTCAGTTTAACTTATCAAGTCATGATCCTTTTATTTTTCCAAGGGCAAAGTGAACCTGTCCTAGATACTCTTCTACAATGTGTCCAAATGTACCAATTTGAAAAAAAAGGTGGGGCTGGGGCATCCATGTAAAAATTACTAACCCTGCAGTGCATACAGAAAGTAGTTGAATTCTATCACTCCAATCTAAAAGTAGGTAGAAATTTACAAAACATCGAGTTTAAAATATTTCAGTTATGAAATTAAGGCACNCGCCCCTTACTTTCAGGAACAGGGAAGTCAGGGGTCCTATTTATCAATATTTAGGAATTTCAAACAAATCAAAAGGCGCACTGCTCTATTTTTTTTTTTCTGAGGCTGTAGTTTATATGTACCCATGCATTTAATGAAGTCATTAATCAACAAACACGTAGTGTGCTTCTAGCTCATAGCTTTATTTATCTCTAGTTATCATGCTTTCATACATGACTATCTTTCATTTTTTGTTTGTCTGTTTGACATGGGAATCTTTTTTATTTTGAATAGATGCTTGATAGAAAGTCTATTAACTTTTTAAAATGAAAAGATATACATGAATAAGATACACTTGAAAAAGGTATTTTTGATTTCCAGAGATATATATTTATTTTTTAAAAAATCTTTTTGAAAAATGAAGAGATAATGTACACATAATAAGACAGTGGTAACTTAATTCAGGAAAGCTGACTTTATAAAGACCCCCAGCACATTGTAGGTGGGCAGCTGAGTTGTTAACTGACCCCTGTCCAGTGCTGCCCTCTGTGGCCAGCACAGTTTCCATGCTGATTTCCTTTAGAAAGCCCCCAGCATATTAGACGGTTAAAAACACATTGACTTGATATGCATTCCAGTTTTGATTTGATCTATTGTAGACAGGCCACAGGAGAATGAGTAGCCACACATGCACTGCCAGCCAGCGTTCTGGGGGCATGAGGTGCAGCTTTGAGCCAGGCAGGGATAAAAAGGATCCCATTTTGCACTTCTTCACTCATCACCCAAGAAATAGGTTAAAAAGCAACAGGAGATAATAAAAGAAGTCTTTCACATTCCGGGCGGGTAATGATACCTGCGGAAGTGGAAGAGAAGGGGGAAATAATCACCAGTGGTCAGTCCCTCATCTCATATTTGATAGCATGTCCTGAAGTCCAGTCAAATGGTCACCATATGTGGGGCAGAGATAAAGAACAAACCACTAAGACTTCATATGACACTTGTGTCAAGCTTTGTCATATATCAAATATATATGCTTATATAGGTCTTCTTGCCCAGTGGCTGAAATGTTTCTTACTTATGCAATAGAACTGGATTTTAATATCTGAATGCATTTTGCTTTTGCATGTAAACCGAGACTTTTAAAATTGAAATGATATGTATAAGGAAATTTTTCAGGACAAAAATCAACAAAACAGGAGTTATCCTTATATATTTATTTCACATGTTTAGCCCTTTGAAAAAATGTGAAACAGAGAGTTCTTAACAGAAGCTCTTAAACTGTCCCTGGTTTTTGATTATTTTATAATTTTCCCATGTGATGTTTTTTAGATTGGCTGTCACATGAGTACAGCTACCTTATGTCCTGGTCTGCTTAGTCATGTCAGCCCCGGCTGAGCTGCTGGTCTCAGACTAGGAGAATAGTGTAGTCTCCTCAGGTGTTATTTATCTTCATGGGTTACTTCCTGTCCTCTTAAGTAGCCCTTCATTTTTTTCTCATCAGTGGCTATTTATTTTATTTTACTGTCTCTGTGTTGGCAACTGTGATGGATACATGTAAGCAGGGTTACCTAACTTCTTCCACTGTCTTCTGCCTCTAGGAAAAGAATAGGGTGACATTGAGGGTCATTGATAGTATGTGGAGGCTGTGTTTGTTACACAGTGTTGCTGTATACATTAATTACTAAGTGTGAAGTGTGTTAGTATAAGATGCTGTGTTGGGTCTTATCTGCTCTGTCACTGGTGTGGGATCAGGTGTCAGTGGAGAAACTTTGTGAATGAACTCTACAACTAACCAACCACAGGCTGTTTCTGTTTATAGCACAGGCATACTTTCTCAGGCTTAGACCAGTGAAGGCTGAAAATGCAAATTGAAATGAGTATAAGAGAAATGAATTTGTGGTAAAGGTAAACCACTCATTGAATGATTTTTCTTGCAACTGCGTTTTGTGACTTTCACATACAAGTTTCAGATATAAGTTTTAATCAAGCCAAGTGTATCTAAAAGTTAAACAGTACACAGAAAAAAGCATTTCACAGCTGGGAAGATGACTTATGTCTAGTGTCTATGCAGGCCTGCCGTCTCCTTGTCCAAGCCCTGCCCCAGAGACTCCCTCACTGTTTCCATGGCCAGACCCTGCCCCAGAGACTCCCTCACTGTCTCCATGGCTAGACCCTGCCCCAGAGACTCCCTCACTGTTTCCATGGCCAGACTCTGCCCCAATGACTCCCTCACTGTTTCCATGGCTAGACCCTGCCCCAGAGACTCCCTCACTGTTTCCATGGCTTGACCCTGCCCCAGAGACTCCCTCACTGTTTCCATGGCTAGACCTAGCCCCAGAGGCTCCCTCACTGTTTCCATGGCTAGACCTAGCCCCAGAGACCCCCTCACTGTTTCCATGGCTAGACCCTGCCCCAGAGACTCCCTCACTGTTTCCATGGCCAGACCCTGCCCGGAGACTCCCTCACTGTTTCCCTGGCTAGACACTGCCCTGAAGACTCCATCACTGTCTCCTTGGCCAGACTCTCATGGTGATGGGATCAACAGGTACTTTGACATCAACCCCCTTCACCCGCACCCCATCCCATCCCATCTGAATTTCATAATTTCATCTCAGTTTATGGAAGGTTTTTGTTATGCATGAATCATCTATCTATGTCTTTGGTTTATTCCTGTCACTCTACAGTAAGTAGTGTCAAAGACAGATAAAGCCAGAATCTTAAACATCCTGTTCTCTGTGTCAGGGGGAAATCACCCTTAAACGAGAAAAATGCTGCAGTACATGAAAGTATTCTGTTTTTTCAGTTTAACTTATCAAGTCATGATCCTTTTATTTTTCCAAGGGCAAAGTGAACCTATCCTAGATACTCTTCTACAAAGTGTCCAAATGTACCAATTTGAAAAAAAAAAGTGGGGCTGGGGCAGCCATGTAAAAATTACTATCCCTGCAGTGCATACAGAAAGTAGTTGAATTCTATCACTCCAATCTAAAAGTAGGTAGAAATTTACAAAACATCGAGTTAAAAATATTTCAGTTATGAAATTAAAGCACAGAATTTTTTCTTTTGCTTTTAGATATTTATTATTCTGATTTAAGGAATACAAAGTTGGTAGCATCAGTGCATAGTGAAGGGTCAAACAAAAGGGAATTAAACTTTTGACCATTTGCCTTTTTTTATGTCTGGGATTTGTCCATGAATGAAAATAAAAAATGAAGACTAAATATATGGGCATGCAGAGCAATATTTCTTGATAATTTATTTATTTATTTATTTATTTATTTATTTATTTATTTATTTATTTATTTATTTATTTATTGTATTTCAGATTTATTCAGTTTTTGCATCTTCTACAGTTTTAGATAATATTTTAATTGAAATTCAATCACAGCAATTTTATTTCACATGGAAAAGAAAATAAAAAAATGTGTCTCTGTGTTACCACCTTCACCACACCTGTGTATCCAGGTGTAGCTCTCTCTCTCACCTACTAGCCCAATGTACAGTGCATGTCAAATATCACTGAAGAGGTCCATTTAATGGATATATACCATTTCCTGCTATAAATTTGCTGTTTTCTCTCTGTTTTCAAAGACAGAAGCATTAATTATGCTCAGCTTTGTGCTACAATCTAACCAAGAGTCCTAGTGGCTTTCTCTGGTCTGTGGACAGCTTTCTGTGGATTTATGATAATAATGATAAGTTTATTTCAGTTGAAAATGTTACATGTTAACAATGTTGGCTGTCTTTGCTACCTCTAATATTTCATTCCATTTCTTCACATAATACAGAGAAGAAAATAGGAAAACATAATTTAAATGGTAAATACTTTTTAATCAGTATGTACAACTTAAGAGTGTGATGGGTGCTTTTTTTTTTACTGAGGGACACCAGTTTTAAGGAAGCATGGTCCATGCCAGTTACTGTGACCTAGTGACTGATTACTAGGAATCTGGCTAGTTATGTTTGAGTGACCATATTCCCAGAACTTGAAATGTGAACTGTCAGACTGAGAGGGTGGGGAGAGGGGTGGACTCTTTATATGGCTTGACATTCTCTCTTTTTTTCTCCATTCTGTAAACATTATTGTAATTTTTAATTTTGACAAATATGTTATTTGTCAATTCAAAAATATAATTGAAATTTCCATTGAATTTTTTTTCAGTTGAATTTGACAAAATATCACTTTAGCTTTCAGGTTTTTTAAGTACTTGTTTGCAGACATCAGGTTCTTGTTATTGCTTCTAGATGCAAATAGCCGTAGTGTGTGGTTTCCCACAAAGTTAGAAAAGATTTTTATATTTTGTGAAAGATGTATGGCAGGTTTGTGTACATGTTAACCTCCAGCCAGTGTGGTCACTGCAGCCACTAATGGACAGAGCAGCAGTCTCCATCAGAATTACACAGACCCAAGCCCTCCCCCCCCCCCTTCTCCTCTCATGTATCTGTGGGATGCACTGGGAATTATTGTTAAAACTGAATATTATATATTATTACAATTTTTAAAAAAGGTTCCCGTTTTTTGTTTCCACCTCCTCTGCTTCTCACTTACCTGTTTGTCTGTATCATGCTGCACTGGAAATTGAATTATGAAAAAATATAAGTATATGATTCATATGACAAGCTCATTTATTATTATTATTATTTTGTTCCTATTTTTTCCCACTTGCCATGATGCCTGGGTGGCATATCTGAGCCTGAAAACTGAACTTGTTTTCACATCTGTATGATTTAAAGGACAGATTATACCATCACACTGCTGTTTGATCTAATCACTTCCCTATTTAATTAACATAAGGCAGGTTGACTAACCGCCAGAAATAAATATTTACTATCTGCATGTCAATAAGTTCATCTTAGCCGGTTGAAGATTGCTGGACATAATAAGAAGGATCTTAGCCAAGATGACAGTGTGTTACATAAGTGGTGTGTAATAGGTTTGGGTATCAGTTTATTGCAGTGTAATTACAGAAATAAGCCCTGAGAGAGGTAAGGCTGAGCTGGGAGGTCTGTATACTGACCCAGCTTTGTGGACCTTGAGAGATAGGGACAATTCCCAGACCCTATCATACTAACTGTGGAACGACCCATCTCCAAGGGAATTCTCTCTTAATTGCAATCAACTCAAGTGGCCTAGCTGTCTGTCACACCTTCTGAAGCAGTTAGGAGGGTAATTAATTATTGTTAAGCAGCTTCGGCATGCCAGACAACTTAGCCGCTGAAGCTGAAAGCAATTTAGCAAGAAACCCCTCGGAGATGGAACGATCCAGTTAGATCGATCTAGGTATAGGAACCCAGTCAGATAGACTATCTAATCAGTCCTCAGTTATGTCACACTGCCCCCAGTTCCTCCCTGGTTCACTGCCCCACTTTGACACACAAGCCACCCGCCATCTAGTTATCCCATTCATTAAACCCAGAGTGCATATTAAAGAAGCGTTATATGTTCTTGATTGCATGCAACCTGTGTGAATGGTGCGCCCATTACCCCCTGCGGTGTGTTGTGTCTGTCGGGTACTTCACACTGTAATGGCTGGAGTAGAAGGTTAGGTCAACAAGGTGGTGGGGGGGAGGGCATAGGGGAGGGGGGGTTGTTTTGCCTTGCTCATTTGTGTAAGAAATTCCTCAGCTTCTAAAGGGGGTGTAGGAGAGGGTGTAGGAGGAGGATTTGAAAGGACAGCAGAG